AATATTTCGATAAAGAACATCATTTGATATATTTTAAATATTTTAAATGTTAATTATTGTAATATTTTAATATTTAATAAGAATTTATTGTGATTAGACGGACAAGATTTAAAATATATATCCTACTACGTGTTTGGCAGACCGCGTTTGGCCAATGATCGTTTATTTCTCCGCGTGTAATGTAATCCTTGTTGGACAAATCCGCGTTGGAGGAGGGTTCTTCTGTATTACAAGCAAAAATGTATAGTGAGAGCCGATAGAATGATTTCTTTTGACTCACCTGATGCTTAGACACGTGACTGTTGGAGATGCTGCGAGCTTCAGACCGTAGAGATGTCGGTCGGGTTGCGTACCTTCTAGGTCACTGAAGAGGATTTCACTCCGTGTGTGTCCCCTCTTTATAAAACACGCCGACTTCCCCTCTCAACCCTGTTCATTCTTGCCCCAAACATTCGTTCGACGCGCAAGTTAGTGACGTCACTGAATAAAGCCACCAATCACAGTCAACTATTCATTTTGATTGTTTGATACGTAATAATTTTTACTGTTAAGTGGAAGGCCGTCTTCTGTGTAGGTACGTCACATTTTTACGACAATGCTATTGTCCCCCCCCCGGGGGGGGGGGGTGGGGGGGGGTAAAACCAATTTCGAAACGATAATTATTCCCGAAATTTTCTGTAACAAAGTTTGGGTCTCGACTTACGTTTTGGTGTTCATTTAGATGGAAATTATACGTAGACAGACGAAATATTAATTAATATTAAGTTATTTCCGGTGTTTAATTAAGAATCACTTCGTGCACACGTCTGGGTAAATGGAGGTATAGCTCCACACGTTAACCTCAGGATTAGTTAGATGTGGTGGTCGGTTAGAAAATTATCCACAATTATTAAAATAATTTCGAGTATATTTTAAATGTGTTTTATCTTCGTAATAACTCGCTAATTGTGCCAGGGTCAACTATACTATAATCCAGTTACTTTAATAGAAACGTGGCGTGTTTCGAAGTGAGACACGGTTTTAATTAGTGTAGTCAGCACGGCAGTTTTGAAGTTTCTTGGGTTCCTTGTGTTTTTCTCGTCGGCGTCTTGTGATCGACGTTGTTTTCTGCCAGCGTCGGAGCAAACGTCCATTTAACGACGAAACGGGACGTTCTGTTCGGAGTAATCCTGCCATGTTAATTGGCCAACGTGACGACGTCCCGATGTGGCACTTTACCGGCTGTCTACATAACATGTAACTAAGTAATTAGCAAACGAAGGGGCTAACTACATTAGTTAGTTAGTTAACGAGCTATTAAATTAAACAGTTTGACTTATAATATCAGCTAGATGATTAAATTACTAGTAAAGCTAGCAACTTGAATATAACTACACGAAACAAATACATGGAAGTTAGTATTTGATTTCCTAAAGTTTTAAAACGCTATTATTATTTACAGACAATCCTTTAGCGCTCAAACCGATTGTATCAATAGGCAGTTATCAATGGACATAGATAGTCTATGTGTAGACTTTTTTTTTATTTAGTATTCTGTCTGACGACAGGTCCATATGAACAGGATCCTTCCATCCTTTTCTCGGACTGGGACCTGTTCATGTACGTTCTTGGCAGATGATCCAGAAGAGGTTTGCCATTGCCTTCTTCTGTGTGTGAATGGAGTAATTGTTGGGATGCCACGGAGGAAAACTCCGTGTTGCCTAGACCACGGCCTTGCCCAACACAAGTTATAAATTCGAACCCGACACCCCAGGATTACAAGGCCAGCGTTCTAACCGCTAGACCACCGTGGCTCTTAGGCAAACGGGTATGTTCCAATAAATCTGTGGAATTTGGAGATTAGTTTTAATTGCATGGTGCAGAATCATACTTGAAAAGTTGTGTGGTCTACTGGACAAAATACATGTTGTGGATCATACAGATTTTACCGCACTTGGTCGACTACATGAAATCAATTTGACATTTGCTTGTACTCACAGATCAGACGCTTAATTGAGGAGGGGAAGATGTTGAATTTACGTATTGGTCGAAATTATTGGTACCTTTTCCTCGCGACATGTTTTGTGCTATTTTATATGTAAATTGTTTTGTGGTTTAAATTTTACCACATGTGTCTGTGTCATGTCTTAGAATATTTTTAGATGTTTAGTGGAGTGTTCGCTGTTTTACGGCGGAGTAATTCCACAAATGTTTGCATTTCGTAACAAGTTTTATTACCGGAAAGCTTATCAAAGGCCTGATCAGATGACAGGTATCATAGAACATTATTATTATTTGTAAACCCAACATTTCACCTAGACTCTAACACAGGACAGGTTTGGGGGTTCTGGCCTTAGTTTCTGTAATCATCTCACCGAAACAAGTAATTTTACTTTGTGTACTGTTTTCCTGTCGTGTTCTTTCCTAACTACAAAGACCATATTCATCGGGACTCGAACCCAGGACGACATTTTTTTGGGTTCGTCGAAACAAACGACTTCAGTGAAGATGTATTTTTTCTGTCCTGCTTAGTTTCTAAGATACGCAAGCATCTCTCGCCGGGTTTCGAACGCAGGACACTGTCTTGAAGTGTTGATCTTTAATTATTCGTGTTTTTTTCCCCCGTCTAATCACAATTGTATATAAATAAAATTTATACATAAGATATTAAAATATAATTTACATATTTGGTACAACTTTTTACTACATGTTTCGGTTACATTGAACCATCTTCAGGTGTAAAGTTAAAAGTTAAAAATTATAATCTTATAAACTAAAACTTAATTACTGTTGTTGTGTAACTTCTGATGATGTTTACCTTCCATTTTTATTTATATTTTTACCTTATTACATTTTGTCTTCTATACTCGTTCTTTCAACCAAATATGTAAATGATATTTTAATATCTTATGTATAATTTTATTTATATACAATTGTGATTAGACGGAAAAAAACACGAATAATTAAATTTTAATTCACAATATGACGCAATTATATCAACTGTTGATCTTTATAAAATCTTTCCCTGGTTTTGAGGAACAGGCATGCCAAGTTTAGTGCAAATCCGTATATCCATTCTCGAGCTGTGGGCCAATGTAAAAACATACACACAATATCGCTTGGACTTTTGCGTGTTAGAAAGCAAAGAATCGAAGGAAGGAGATGAAGATGCAGACAGAAAGTGATACAAGGAACAAAGACGTCTTGAACATGAACTGAAACGGCCAGAGGCGCCGTTAGCGCGGGAAATTGATTCGATTATTTCGTGTACCCGATATGAAATGAACGTATCTCTCCGTCTGAAAGTTTAAATTCTTCAATTTCTCGACGGACTTGTGTGAATTCCTTTTTGGGATCTGCATTAAAAGTTGTCAGTAATAATTTGGTTTTTGTTCGTGTCTGTGAAAGAAGGTTGTAATCCCTACTTCATGCGTAAATGTAGATTTTTATCTCGAGTCTATTTCGATGTGGTGAATATTTAACCAAAGTACGTAATAATTCTGTCTGTAGGCAGTGAGAGTGATTTTGTTCGTAGTTGACCGAAATGGATTTTTATCGGAAAAACTGAACACGCAAAACTGTGAAGTTGCAGCCGAACTTAGAGGCTGGGTGAGAAAGGAGAATAATTTAAATTTTACCTAATTTTGAGAAAACCACGGGGAAAGTTTTGCGTCCTTGCGTTTGTTTTTTGTTCACAGTTAAAATTCTCATAAATTTGTTTTATTTTAAATTTTATGTGCGTTAAATTCTGTGTAATTGTTTCCTATTTCTGCTCAAACTTTATTTTTAAATTTAAATTTATCAAAATACTTTTCATAATGCAAATACGTAAAAAAGAATGTATACAGTAAAATAAACAATTTAAATGCCATTTTTTTAATGTCTCGTTGTGTTTAATATATTGTAAAGGAATTGATGTTTTCGGCTCTGTCCTTCGTCCTATATTATCCTGCTTCTATCTTCAGCTGAGGGATACCTATTCAGGTCTGGTCTCAAATGCCCTCAGTCTATTATCCTACCAACGCCAAAGATCAGATTTAAGACCCATATAAAATAAACAAAGAAAAATGAACTGTATATTTTAAAATCTACGTTTTTAAACACCAGACAGGAAGATAAAAGTTTCTGAACTGAATCATTTCCTTGAAAAATTTGCTGTTTCTTTATGAACGGAATTTTATTTGTCCCTCCCAAATGTTTGTACTTTAATTTAACATTTATTTTTTATTTTATTAAACCTCGACCCGACACAGTAATACTTCTAGATGTCTTCCGCCAGACACGTCATGTCTCTATCAACTAATCACCGACTAATATTGAACATCAGATGAACCACGCCATATAAAAAACAATACCTTCGTTCTAATATATAAGAGTAATCTGATAAGAACATTTCAATAAACTGCATAACATTGTAAATGATTGTAATTCGAGTTTTAAATTTACCAATCTAATTTATACCTGAGGACGGTTAAATATAACCGAAACATGTCGTAAGAGACGTTCCAATTTGTAAATCGATCATTCGATGCGGAACGTGAAATGATATTTTAAATATTTTATATATTTTATTATCTTATTAAAATTGTGATTTGACGGAAAATATTAAAATATTAACCTAATTCACAATATGACGCAAATATACTACCTTTAATTTAACATTTTCAAAGAATTTATTGGCTTTGTTCTGTAGTCCAATGATGAGCTTCTGGACCAACTTCCTTGCTTGCACGTGATTGAGCATCGTTATTTTCATTCATGGAACGCTTGTTTATGTTTTCATTCAGTAAATTAACATCGTCAGCATAGATCAGATGTTGATGTGTCCCATTTGACTTCTAATATTATTTGTTCTCTTGGATCTTCCTGAACGTGTATTCCAAAATGAATTTTGGAAATCAACGGTGTTGAACATCACCTTATTTCAGAAAATTCTGAATTGGAAATGCACTACAAAAAAGTTTAAATATACCATTATGGCACATATTTCGTTGATTTTAAACCTGATATTGATTTATGGATAAAACCTTGCGAGAAAAGTGTCCGAACTTGAAAAATCTCAATGTTAATTTTAGACTGTATTTATGTGTGAAAATTTCAATCCCAGTTTCTAATTTACCGACACGTGGGCCAGCTTGTTTTATGACCGAATATTATTCGGAAAACTGTCTTTGTTTCATTGTGGACGGTTGGGTTTCCATAATAACAGCTGCTTGCTGACTGATGGTCTATGGCCTTAATTGGCGGCGAACAAGATAACCATTTGCATTGTAGCTCGGAGCCCGACCACAGTCATATCGGGAACAGTATCCTCTTATACCATCGAAGAATTTTTGCATATGTGAACGAGACTGGGCCCATATGTGACATTTTTTGCTGTGAAAGTACATATTTTCGCCTCTAGAACGTTTTGCTTTACGTTTAGTAATTTTAATTGACACGTGAA